CCGATTAGTTATCTAAAAGTGAGGAGATAACAGGATGTTGCTGCTGACAAGCAATTATCCCTAGGGAATTAACTTATCACAATAATTAATGTAAGTGTAGAATATGAGCACTGTGGTGGAATGTAATTCTATATTAGATAAGGTTATTTTAAATATCACACGGTGGTGATGCAAATGCGGTATCAACAACTGGATGACAAGGTGGTTTCGAGCATAAATGATTGCTGTTCATTATGAGATCAGCTGAGTCACACGGTTTCATGATGCGTCTTAATATTATATTATTACTGTTTCCTTTAATTCCTAGAGGAACATAAGGCTTCAGCCGTGCGTCTCCATTGCGTTCGGTTCTCTGCTAGAGTTTTCACCTGGCTCCAAGTCTGCCCACATGCTTTCATCTCCTCTTCACATGACCTCCTCCAAGTCACCTTCGCACTGACGACCAACTCGCCGCTTCCCTTTCGGGTTCCACTCGAGCAATGGCGTGTCTAGTGATGTCACTCACTTGATGGTTTCCTCAGAGTATGGCCAATCCACCTCCATTTCTACCTGCCTATGTGTTTCACAATCGGTTCCTGGTTGGTTCGCTCATTGCCAGAGATCTCTGTTGCTGATCTTTTCTGGCCGGCCATCTGATCTTGAGTGGTATTGAGCGAAGACAGCTGTTAATGAAGGTCTGTAGTTTGTTTGAGGTGCTCTTTATGACGCGCAGTGCAAGTCTCTGATCCGTATAGTAAGTAGCACTGACTTCACATTGGAGTTGAAAATCCGGATCTTATTTTTAACGCTGAATCCTGTTGACCTCCACACAGACTTGAGAGTAGTGAAATCTTGTCTTGCTTATCGGATTCTTGCTTTGATATCCTCGTCAGTTTCCGTTGTAGTTGAAACGATACTTCCCAGGTAGGTATATGAAGGAGGTTGTTTCTTTCACATTCTTCCCATTTATGCTGATTGTTTTTTGTTGTTGTTGGTGTGGCTGTTGCTGCTGGTGATGAATCTTCATCACCTCTGTTTTCTCTATGTTCACCTGAATTCCTATCTTTGATGTTTCTTCTGCCAACTTGTTGCTTTTCGCTTGCATATCTTCCACTTTGTGAGAAATCGTCTTATATTCATATTTTTCTCTCTATTCTGTCTCTCCAACTTTCCTTTGTTGTTTGTTGCCACATTCCATATCTGCAGTATAGGCGATTCGTTGTGTTGCGTCATTCCGATTGTACGTGTGTGATGTTGAATCAATAAACAAAACTTCAGTCAGTGATTATCTCTCTATTTCTCCAACTAACTATGTTAAATTTTGACACTTTCGCCCTGTCCCACCCTAATGTGTGATGATTACATGCAAATGAATGCAGTGCAATGGCTGAGCCCTATCTTTTCTAGGTTATTTAACTTAGCAGGGTCAATCATTCTAGGTCGAGCTAAATTTTCATGTTCCAATAATCTAGTTGACCTTGCTCTACTAGTCTGACCTATGTAATTGACTCCACTCACAGTCATTACATGATATTTGGTAAATTATGTCATTTTTCTTAATTGGATCTGTTGGGTTCTTAGGCCTATAAAGTTTATCTCTGAGAGAATTGGCTGCTTGGTTGGTTTAAATGCCACCCCAATTAATTCCAGCCTCATTGAGAGTACTACGTAAGGCGTCTGACGTTCCTTCGTTGTATGACAGTACTACAGAGGCTTTGTATTCTATTCTATTTTCGTCATTTTATTGATCTAAGTTTTCTTTTCGACGAAATCATCAACAAGGCTGTACATTCGTGTACTTATAATAAATGGGTAGGAAAGTTCCAGAATAATTTCTGGTCAAGGGTCAGGTTAATAAAATTACAATTAGGAATTAAAATGTCATAATAAACAGGGGACGGATAAAACTCAAACAAAGTAGCATCATAATTACTGAGAAGATTGACATATTGTGCAATTGGGGGTTAGAAATGTAGAAATAAAAACAACAGACAGGATGTTTGGATATGAAAATATGGTAGTGTAAATAGGGATTAAGAAAAACTTAAAATAACATGAATAAACAGGAAGTCTGGACAAGAAAGGCAATGGGATAGTCACTATTAGGAGAATTACCTGTTTGTGATGGCCATGACAGGGACAAAGGATGAAGGTATTTCTTTTGGACACGTAGCGTGGATTTGAGCTTTTGGATGGCTAGTGCCTCAGATATGCCCATATGTCTTAATTTTACTCCCTTTGATAGTTTTGGTTGAATCTTGTATATTATTTTGAAGGATTTTTCGAATGGCGCTGAATGTCCTGAATTGGTCAGACGTTCTGTCACTGAACTATTTACACGTTTTCGTTCTCCTTTTACTAGCCAGGCTGGATAGTGTTCACAAGCGCGTTTTTCAAGTTGGAGCATGGTACGGACGATGTACTCAGCTCCGCAAGAGCAAGTAAACTGGTATATGCACGTTGAAGTGGCCCAATGAGACAGTTTGTCTTTCGCGTTCTGGTTAAACAGTTTCTTGCAGGAAAACGTTAGTCGTAGGCTCGCGGCAAAGTATGTCTTCCTCAGAGATTTACAGAGGCGTTTACAAAGGATTTCTGCTTCAGTATCACCTTTGAATTGTAGATTAAGCAGAAGTATCCTATTCGGGACGGATTGAACTTGTTCGGGAGTCTTCTTTGATTTGAGGTTCTTGTCTATGAACCTAAGCGGAAAACCGTTTTCCACCAGGGTTCTTCGAAGATTACTCAGTTCTCCATCAATCACCACCTTGTTGCATATCTTCCGAATCCTCGAGGAAAGAGCGTATATCAGGTTCCTCTTTCTGCTTAGGGGAATGAAGCTTTGAAAATTGATGAATTGTCCAGTCCATGTGGGCTTTTTGTATATGAACCTTTTCAGAGAGTTGTCGGTGTTTCTTGTCAGATGGATGTCGAGGAAGTAGAACGTTCCGTCGGATTCGGTTTCAGGAATTATTCTGGAACTTTTCTACCCATTTATTAAAAATACACAGATGTACAGCATTGTTGATGATTTCGTCGAAAAGAAAATTTTCTTCGCTGCAACTGTCTGTTTATTCCCTGTGATCAAATGATCTTAGTTTTTCTATGGTTCTTGATATATTTCTGAATAAATTCAGATGGGTATTTAGTGATTCACTAGTAATATTTCCTTTCCTATTTGTTTGATTTCATTATTTAAATCTTCTGGCTTAACAGTCATTTAGGCTCCTGGTCCGATTATACAGACATTTAACTAAACGTATCTTTACCTCCGATTCTGGATGGGAAGTGTTAAAGTCTAAGTATTTATTAGAGAGTGTCGATTTTCTCTAAATGCTAGTATTCATTTAACCCACCATCTTGTTTTATTTTTATTTTACAGTCTAGCATGGCCTAATCAACCTGTTCGTTTTTTAACTCAGAAGGGAATTTGATTCCGTCTATTACTGAGTTTATGTGTGCCCAGAACTGGAGGGATATGTTCAGATTTCAACACAGTAGTGAATGCGTCATCCACATATTTCCACTACAACCTAGGAGCAAGCCTAAATGTTCTAAGAGCCTTATGTTCCCAACTATCCATAAATATGTCTGCTAATATTGTGGATTTTGAAATGGTTATGTCCTCTGAGCTGGATGGTTAATTTGCGAAGCTTTCATCGCCCTACTAGGCGACATCTTCAGCGCATACTTCAATTCGTCTTCGTATCCACAATCACAAGCTAGCTGCCAAAAGACATGATATCCACTCCCTCACATCGTTGCATACAGACAACTACGGACATCAATTCGACTGGGACAACCAGCGTTCAAATATTAGACAGAGGAAACACCAAGAATGCTAGAGAATTTTTAGAAGCTTGTCATTCCAGTGAATCATCAATCAATAGACACATCGAGATTGACAAAATTTACCAATCGATAAGAAAGAAACCTCACACACAAAGGGTCAAAGTTCAAGTCAAAGAAACAATCAGTTCCAATACAAGTGGCCTAGAAGGTGTGAAAACACACAAAAACAACCAATCACATCCAAGATCACCAGGAGAGGTGAATAATAAACTCGTGGAGAAATCTGAAAGCTCACTTCATCGAATTGAAGTATGCGCTGAAGATGTTGCCTAGTAGGGCGATGAAAGCTTCGCAAATTAACCATCCAGCTCAGAGAACACAACCACATCAAAATCATCCACCTGAGCTACAAATCTTCTCTATCATATGTAAATATTGTGGATTCGGTGATCCCATAGCCGCACCGTTCGTCTGTTTATATAGTTTATTTTGTTATTTGGATACAGTGGAGGTTAGACATAACTGAACACCTAAAATAAATTATATCATCAACCGAGCGAGAGCTTAGTCCTATTTTAGAGTTAAGAATCAATGTTCACTTCATTCTTAACTGCCTCCAGAGCTGTATTAATGGGAATATTAGTCCCGCAAACTGGTTATGCCAAAACTAATCATTTTTTCATCTTTTTCTAATATAGTTGGGTAGAGAGATAGAGAGAGACTACTCACTGACTGAAGCTTTGTTTATCGATTCAATACCTCACACGTACAATCAGAATGACGCAAAGCAACGCAACGTGTCGCCTATACTGCAGAGATATGGAATGTGGCAACAAACAACAAAGGAAAGTTGGATGGAGAAACAGAATAGAGAGACAAATATGTATATCAGACAAATTATGAAACGTGTGATCTGCAATTTATGCTCGAAACCACCTTGTCATCCAATTGTTAATACTGCATTTGCATCAACACCGTGTAATATTTAAAATAAACTCATCACAAAAATAATAATAAATTAGTGTGTAGGTGTTTGTGTGTTTGTTTGTGCGTGAATGTGTGCATTGAAATATTTATCTAAACCTACCACCTCTGTTGTTATTTGTAGTAATACTATATTGATAGGCTAGTCTGAGAGTATTTTCTCAACCTGAAGTGGCCTCATTACATATTAGAGACTAAAAATAGTGCTATATATATATATATATATATAGACACAGTGTTGAAGTCTTGCGCAGTTTAGTTTCCCGAGTATCGAACTGACAGTGTAGCCAACTCAACGATACTTCTGTATTTCTGTATTACTTACTTTACTATTTCGTGAATCAAAGTGAGTTTGACTATTCTGTGTTTATATATAACTGACGGTTACAATCTATCAGAGAATACATAATTTTTTTTCATCTTGTATTCACATTATCTAGGTAACACTGATATAAGAATAAAACTTGGGCACTGTGGTAGAGTGTAATTCCATTATAGGTAAATTTTTATTTTGATAGAGTCTCACAGTGTTATACAGTAATATTTACTGATGACGTTTCGAGCACAATTTATTGCCCATAATCATATCAATGTAATCACACGACTTCCTAAATTCATTTATATAGTGAATTTAGGAAGTCGTGTGATTACATTGATATGATTATGGGCAATAAATTGTGCTCGAAACGTCATCAGTAAATATTACTGTATAACACTGTGAGACTCTATCAAAATAAAAATTTACCCATAATGGAATTATCTAGGTAACTTTTCGAAATCCATAAAGAAACGGGAATTGAGTAGTTAGATTATGAGTTTGGGTGCAGATATTGATTATTCATGTACGTCGGTGGCACATTGGTTGGGACTCTCGCCGACCATGCACATGGTCCGGAGTTCGATCCCCTGCCGGCGCACACCCGATATCTATGGTCGGCCTGAATTTGGGCTACCGATATCCATGCTGAAAATTCCACACTTGTACTGAAAATACGGTGTGGAATCAAGCTGTAAATCAAAATAAAAAAATAAAAAATAAAAATAAAAAATCCAGGCATTAATGAAAACAAAACACGTAGATCAGCGAAGAGTCCCTTTTCGCCGGCGAATTCATTTTCTTAGCTGTACAATCGCAAATATATATACGGGTTATTTTGTATGTATGTGTACATTAAGTTTATCAAACAAAAATACAGTTGGTTATAGTCACTTAAACTAAACAGGTGAAGATTGGTTATTGGAGTTACGTAATACAAAATCAGTCAAAAAAATTAGGTGTTAGTAAAATTAGGGTAGAATAACCGGAGCTGTGCATACAAAACAGGATTACTCAACTACTTCTACTGTCTTGCTAACAACTTTTTTCATTTGATTTGATTTTTTGATTTTGATGACTGAATTTTGTTTCTTTGCCTGTTCTTTAATTGCTTATAATTCTTGTATTCATTTAGAACTCTTACGTGATTTCGTATTATCTATTTTGTTCCTATGTGCATCCTGAGTAAAACTCACTCACCAAACTATTCATATTATTACATAACTTCCCTTTTTTAACAACTGTATGTGACAACTCATCACCTTTGTTACACTACCCTAATTTCACTAACACCTATTTTTCTTGACTGATTTTGTATTACGTAACTCCAATTACCAAGCTTCACCTGTTTAGTTTAAATAACTATAACCAATTGTCTATTTTTGCTTGACAAACTTAATGTATACATACATACAAAATAACACACATATATATTTGCGATTGTACAGCTAAGAAAATGAATTCGCCGGCGAAGAGAGACTCTTCGCTGATCTACGTGTTTTGTTTTCATATTGATTATTGCCAATGTAAATTTAGTCATGAACATACACCGTTCAGAGGTCACCACTGAAAAACCGCACATCTGTAAATCTCACTGGTGTCCATTTGGAACGAAATCCCCTTTGAAATTAATTCAAATATCTACAATAGCCCATACTCCAAAATATCACTGTTCAACTCTTTGATGATAACAGAAGGAATGTCCTATAGTTGTACTGACTGAGAAGTCATGACCTGTGGGGTCTGCCATGTGTCCAGGTGAAGTGGACGAACATCTATGGCATGACATATGTTGGAAATCATGAGTTATTTAATCTTGGCCCAAGTGACTAAGTGGTCAATGAACTCAGTTGCTTAATCTGAAGGTCATGGGTTTGGTCCATAGTCATGTCGTTGGTGTGCACCGCAGAGTAGTCGCAAACCAGTATGAAACAACTATCCAGTGTACTGTGGTTTTTCGTTCGTGTTGGAATTAACCATGAAATTGAATGTTTCTTTTTTTTACGAGTTTGACCACGGATTCCTGTATTCTACCCATCCCTCTTTACTGCTCCCCATTAATCTTTCCTGGACTACTTAAGAAAGACTTTGCTTCGCTGCGTAGGGCACTAAAATCTGTTAGTAGGGCAAGTGGGATTTCGTCAAACCAACTGGTTAACACCGTTGTGGATAGACATATAATGTCATGTAAGAAACTAGCGAATTCTATATTGTCAGACCCCGAACACCCTCTCCATACGCAGCTCTCTCCTTGCATTTCATCTGGTAGAACTAGAAGCAACTATAGGAAGCTATATGCCAGGACTACCAAGTATAAAACTCCACAATACCTTATCTGGCACAGCTGTTATGTGATGAGAAAACTGTTAGGCATGACACGATCAACTTACTGCGGCACTCTAACAAATAGTTCCCATTAGCTTTTGTTCTCCTTTCTTTGTTACTATTATATTGTTGTTCATATATTCTATTACACACTAATTTTATATTTCATATCCTGTGGTGCACTGTTTAAATATGTGAATGCAATGCTGTTCTTTTTTATTTCTCCTATTTCTCTTCTTTTTCTTTTGATGTTGTTGCTTTTATTTTTAAATTCTTATAAAATTTATGAGGTAATTAGATGCAATATTGTAATGCACGCTGAAAATTCCATACCTGTACCACAAATACTGTTTGGAATAAAGCCATTATTATTATATCACAGTTAGAGAACCATTGAAAAGCAGCAGGGAGTACTGGACAGTCATTTCATCCTAGTCTGGGCCCCATAAGCATTACGCACCCAATAAGTTTTGAACTCAGGACCTTCCAATTACTAGACAAGCCTGTATACCATCCAGCCACCGGAAACCGACTCAATAGCCAGTGCATGAATTCCAACTTCTAGCATTTCGTGATTTTTAGTGCGACCACCAACCAATGTCATTGGCCGGAACGCCATACTCACTTCCAGTCTTCGGTTCAAAACATAGCGCGTGCTTACTGTCGATGAGTCCGAAAATAGGCTGATGAAACAGCTGTCCATTACTCCCTGCTGATCTTCAATGTTTCTCTAACTGTAATACCAATCCTTAGTAAAACTTGAAAAACAAATCCAACCCTTACAAATCAACTGTTGAATATTTAAATTTGTTTTCCATTTGATCACTAGTTTAAGTTGAATTCATTATCGGCGAATTATCCAGTTCAAGGATGAAATCCCCTAGAATTCCCCTTTTTTATTCCTTCATGTTACCAGAGGAACATAGGGGGCTTCCAGCTAGAGGCTTGAAGTTTCTCTGTCACTGGTGATTATTTTTACAGGATGGGGTTGCTAGCCGGTCTCATGCCCAACCTTTCCTCTTTACCAGCTTTATTACTGCCCTAGCAAGGTTTAAGAGTGCGTTGGTGGCCGGGGATCGAATCCCGGACCATGTGCATGGTCGGCACGCGTCCCAACCGCTGAGCCAAGGATGCAAAATTCCTTTTTAAGGAGACAAAAGCATGTTAGATCACAATATGTGGTCATGAGTAGTAATTAAAGAAGACAAGAGATATAGTACCGTAGTAGTTAGAAAACCACTCAGGCAAAATAAAAATGTATACTAGCCACATCGTATTAATCTAAACAACCAGGTGACCGTTTCTCTTGGATGGAGCAGTGTTTATCAGCAATTTAACAAGTCCAACTGAGCTTAGAAATTAAAACAAGCAAAAAAAGGTTTTAATAAAGCAGGATTTAATGAATTCAACGAATTTCGGTAGAACTCGTCAGCTGAATACTCTACATACGGGGATATGTATATACTACTGAAATTACGTTCGCAGATATACAAGACTGATAAGCAAATAAACTACATTAAATTAGTCATACACAAAGACAGGTGAAAAAGAGAAGACATTCAGCGAAGAGACTCTTTTCGGCGAATTCATTCACATAGCTGTACAATCGCATTTATATATAAATATTTGTGTGTGTGTGTGTACATGAGGTTTGTCAAGTTTAGATAATTGATTAGTTAATACAAAAATGATGTGGTATAGAGACGAAGTTAATCAGACAGCAACTAAAGTAAGATTGAGTTAAAAAGCTAGATGACGTAATATAATTGGCTAAAATGTTACAACTTAGGTCAGGATAGCAACAGAGGTGCCAATGTTTTTCAAGTCATGTTCAAATAGATAAGTGGGGGGAAGGGAGTATGACACATTGAAATTAAGATAAAATGCATTGCGCGCATCAGTTACATCACTTAGATAAACAATTGGTGATTAGAGAATATATCAGGAATTGCAAACAGAGTAATATCAATAGTAATAGTTATAATAATAAAAATAATAATAGGGTTGAAGTGAGTGAAGATAATCCTACTGATAAAAGATAGTTTTAAATGAATCAAGAATAATAGTAATAATAATAATAATAGGTAGAATAATAAGTAAAACGTATTACCATGGTAGATTCAGAGTGACGACCATCTCTTTTTGTACACAGATACCTACCTGTCGTATAAACTCGAATTGCACAAGCCTCTGCAGCTACAAGCGTCTTCCTGTTTCTTTGTCTGCTGACTGGCAACAGTGAATGACTTGACCGCGTCGATATCATGTCCATAGTCCACTAGATGTTTGGTTGTTGAGGTTTTTGCACTTTGCATTCAGCTGTTTTCAACCACTTTGGTGAATGCTCCATCATGCAAGTAGACAATCGCTTTTCTGTACGAGCTATGCGTATTTGCTTCCACAAACACACTCAACAAATTGATATACGCAGTTTGAAGTGTCGAAGATTGGCGACCATTCTTTCCTAGATTGTTAAAGCACACTCACTTGGCGGTGTTAAGGAAGACAAGTTTTGCAGCATAATAAGTTCTCTTGATGGCTTTATCGAGTCTTCATTTGAATACTTCTTGTACATCATCTCCTTTGAATGGCAAATTGATATAGACAGATTTCTTCAGAACTGTTTGGATAATTTTGCAGAGGCTCATTTCTTTAGAGTATTTATTAGTGAACTTCACAGGATATCCATTATTAGATAAAATATC